GCCCGCTCCGGCCGCCGCTTCCTGCGCGGCCGCGGCGAGAGCGCGGGGAGCCGCCGCGGAGTCAGACGGCCCTTGATTATCAGTTCCCAGCAACAGCTGTGTGTATTCACCGAGAATGCAAAGAAGTACCAGAAGATAATGCGGCATCGCTATTTATTACCCTATAATTAAAGCCCTGACAGTGTTTCTATTATAAAACCTTATTTGCAAGGGTTCATAACTCAGAGGCAAATTTTTTGCCTTTCCTGCCCTGGCTTGCCACACTGAAGCATTTAAAAAGTGTTTTGGTTAAATACGGTTAGCCCGTTAGAGGGTATAATTCCCCAGGTTTGCTTCTTCAGGTGCTCGTTTCTGTCTGCAAACAAGGAGTTGCCAAGTGCCCCAAATCGAGGATGTACAAGGGGAAAATATTTTTGCAAAATCGAAGGTTCATGGAAATGTTTTAATATAATTCGCTAGGAAATTATTCCCATGAAAACAATTTGTTTGAAAGAAAATGCCCTCCAGTCTTTTCCACACAAACTAGTCTTGGGCTAGTACATGAAAACCAAACTTAAAAGTGACTATGAACAGAAATGAGGCTCACTAATTCATTTCAACTGTCCTTACTGGAATAAAAAGCAAAGAATAAACAGCTTGAACGGTGAAAGGTGAATTTAATTTTCAAAGCCCTTTAACTTTTAATAATCTGAGGAACAATATGGGAGGTACATTCTACCCTCAGTTATCCTGCCAGAAATTCATTCAAGATTTATACCGGTGTAACAGAGAAGCAGAATTTGCCCCGTGATTTCTAATGAACTGCTGGCTCGGTCTTTAAAAACGCAATTAGAAAAATCTAGCATCCTAATTCGGAACAGCTTTGAGCTAAGTCAGAGGTCTCGACGCTGAAAACACTGAGGGAAGCTCGTCTACACCGTGGCTCCTGCAGCACGACCCAGGCGGCGGCAGGAACGCTGGAAACACTTTGCAAAAAAATTCCCTAGTTATTTTAGGATTTTCTTTTCTATCATACCGGGAAAGACGAGTCTCATGTGGAATAAACCTGTGTTTCCTGCGATCTCAGACAGTAAGACGGGGGGATTGTTGGATTAGGTGCCTGGCCGGTTATTGACGCAGGAGGCAAGAGAGTCGCCTGCTCTGAGCCGCTATCGAGTGATGCTGGCGGGAGGCAGAAAAGCCCGTTTGGTTTTAACTAGGTACTGAAACTTGCAGTTCCTGCTCCAACGCAGGTGAAACATCGGTAAAGTGAGTGAAGGGTCAGTACTGCCGTTTTACTCATAAGATCAGGTCTCTGAATTCACAGATTACTCATGTGCGTAGGAACGGTGGGACCGAGATCCCGCTTTGTCTCTACGACCTTTTGAAGTGAAGGCTTTGAATGAACCAGAGCCAGACGGCTGGCTTTCACCTGATCCTCAGAAACCACGCGGCAAAACTCCTCAGGCACCCAGGCAGCAGGGAAAACACTACTTTTTGGCGGGAAATGCTACCTCAAACTAGCTAGAAATGTTACATCACCCTTTTGACTGAGGATCTGGAAATAGCCCAGCGTAGCCCACCCAGGACCTGGGGCCGACCTAGTGGACTTCGGGGACATAGCAAGACACGTGCAAGCATGCTGCAAAGTTTCTGCGAGCCCAGACCCAACCTCCAGCAACAGGACGGGATGGACCTCGGCTTCCCTGTTATCCTCGGAGTCCAGCACAGGATTTCTTGCTCTCGAACAGCTTTTCTCATCAAACTGAACCTAGGAGTGTATTCATACCCTCAGCTAGAGGGGGGAGAAGGGCAGAGGAATCAGATGGGTTATCCCTCCTGCATTTTTTGGGAGGTGTTTGTATCTTCTGCTTGTTTAAAAAAAAAAAATCAAACTTGTGCATACATTAAGTGGCCATGTACAGATTCCTGGACTTTCCACCTGCTTTTAGGTAGATTTTCAGGGGGTGCTGTGCCTCTTGACAAAGGCCTTGAAAAGCAACGAGGACCCTTCTACCTTTACTCAAAGTAAGGCCCTTACTGTTTTTAGGAAAACTAGGAAATGTTTTCCAAGTCACTTAGACTTAGCAGAAAGAGCTCAGGTGAGACTTGGTGAGACAAAATACCCTGAAACTTACCATTTTCCTTGCCTAGGAAAGGTCTACATGCAAAGCTACAGCCTCAGCCCTGAATTCATCCAGCTGCCTGGGCAGTGGCAGAAGAAACAGCTTCCAGTGAAAGAGAACCAAAGAAGTCCTCAAATGCACATGTATTTTAAAAAAATGATCATTCATGCATAAAACCTGCTGTTAAAATATCCCTGACCACCAAATAAGCTAAAGTGGACCAGCTGAGGGAGGAGCTGGGCCTGACCAGGGTCAGCAGGTGGCTCACCCTGGCCTCCTCAGCCGCCGTGTTCTCCATTCAAAAAGACGCATCTTTGGCATAAGGAGACCCCCCGCCCCGGACAACGTGCGTGGAGCCTGTGCGCCACAAGCCATAGCACAGAGTTACGGCGTCTCTTCTTTCCCCGTTACCGGTTTGGAGAGTGAGTCATGGCGAAACTTTGACCAATTCACTTCATGCCTCTGTTTCCCCATCGATAAAGACAGAAAAATTCCAACTTGCCATTGCCGGTGTGAGGTGTGATAGCGTTAGGGAAGATTTCTGAGACATTCAGATAGGTCGTGCTGTTACTTTGCCCTGCCAGCTATGACTACCACACCTACGCGGGCCATCCGGAGGAGACAGCTTTGACTCAACCACCTGAAACTTCTAGAGCCAGGCTGGGCTTTGGTGGAGCAGACATAGGGAGGAACAAACATACATGAGAGACGATTACGGCAAAATCACAACTCTGCAGTGCCAGGAAAATATCTGAGCACTTACCATCTGCCCTCGGATCTCTCCTGGCTTTTTTTTTTTCGATTGAAAAAATCAAGCAGGAAGCTCTGGTGGGCCGTTGGGTGACGGCTCGCCGGCCGGGAGGGACGAGCTGCCTTGCCTGACAGGAGCGAAGCCCAAACCTTACCTGCCCACCAAGAGAGGTGTTGCCGGGCTTTAAATCGAAACAATTTACGGAGGCTCCTTCTTGCCTCTTCCCAGAACAGCGCTGAAAATCTTGGAATTGTCGTAACGTTTTATTATCACTTGCAAAGCAGATTCTGCTTCATCAGATAAAGGCGCAATTGCATTCATTGACTCTGACACGGGGATACGCCGAGTGATAAACACACAGATAGATGTACACACTTATACATGAATGAGATATGCTAATTAAAAATTGCAGTGGGCACTTTATTAAAAATTTATTGTACAATCTACATCTTCAAAACATTTTACATCCACAAATATAGCAGCTTGACTGCCGGAATCGTCGGTGATTTATCTTTAAAAGGCTGTATTTGTAACTGGATGCAAAGATCCTTGATGAACTGCAGCTACTGGTTTTTATTGGAAGTATTTTGACCGTTATCTGTTTGTTCTCCATCCTTGAGAGAAATAAAACAAGTGTCTCCGCTTTCATTTTATCGGATAGATGGCACCATGTAGCATATTTCCCGTGCTAGTTTGAATTACAGCTGTTTATCTTTCAGCTTTCTTTAAGATTAATTAAATGCAAATGCAACTCGGTGAATCACGGGATTACCTGCCAGACCCCTTATTAATACCTTCACTTAAAAACCCCCGGTGC